AATGGACAACCTGGAAGAAATGGACAAATGCTTAGAAAAGCACAACCTGCCAAGACTGAATCAAGAAGAAATAGAAAATATGAACAGACCAATCACAAGCACTGAAATTGAAACTGTGATTAAAAATCTTCCAACAAACAAAAGCCCAGGACCAGATGGCTTCACAGGCGAATTCTATCAAACATTTAGAGAAGAGCTAACACCTATCCTTCTCAAACTCTTCCAAAATATAGCAGAGGGAGAAACACTCCCAAACTCATTCTATGAGGCCACCATCACCCTGATACCAAAACCAGACAAGGATGTCATAAAGAAAGAAAACTACAGGCCCATATCACTGATGAACATAGATGCAAAATTCCTCAATAAAATACTAGCCAACAGAATCCAGTAGCACATTAAAAGGATCATACACCGTGATCAAGTGGGGTTTATTCTAGGAATGCAAGGATTCTTCAACATATGCAAATTAATCAACGTGATACACCATATTAACAAACTGAAGGAGAAAAACCATATGGTCATCTCAATAGATGCAGAGAAAGCTTTTGACAAAATTCAACACCCATTTATGATAAAAATCCTGCAGAAAGTAGGCATAGAGGGAACTTTCCTCAACATAATAAAGGACATATATGACAAACCCACAGCCAACATCTTCCTCAATGGTGAAAAACTGAAAGCATTTCCACTAAGATCAGGAACAAGACAAGGTTGCCCACTCTCACCACTCTTATTCAACATAGTTTTGGAAGTTTTAGCCACAGCAATCAGAGAAGAAAAGGAAATAAAAGGAATCCAAATCGGAAAAGAAGAAGTAAAGCTGTCACTGTTTGCAGATGACATGATACTTTACATAGAGAATCCTAAAGATGCCACCAGAAAACTACTAGAGCTAATCAATGAATTTGGTAAAGTAGCAGGATACAAAATTAATGCACAGAAATCTCTAGCATTCCTATACACTAATGATGAAAAATCTGAAAGTGAAATCAAGAAAACACTCCCATTTACCGTTGCAACAAAAAGAATAAAATATCTAGGAATAAACCTACCTAAGGAGACAAAAGACCTGTATGCAGAAAACTATAAGACACTGATGAAAGAAATTAAAGATGATACAAATAGATGGAGAGACATACCATGTTCTTGGATTGGAAGAATCAACATTGTGAAAATGACTCTACTACCCAAAGCAATCTACAGATTCAATGCAATCCCTATCAAACTACCACTGGCATTTTTCACAAAACTAGAACAAAAAATTTCACAATTTGTATAGAAACACAAAAGACCCCGAATAGCCAAAGCAATCTTGAGAACGAAAAATGGAGCTGGAGGAATCAGGCTTCCTGACTTCAGACTATACTACAAAGCTACAGTATGGTGCTGGCACAAAAACAGAAATATAGATCAATGGAACAGGATAGAAAGCCCAGAGATAAACCCACGCACATATGGTCACCTTATCTTTGATAAAGGAGGCAGGAATGTACAGTGGAGAAAGGACAGCCTCTTCAATAAGTGGTGCTGGGAAAACTGGACAGGTACATGTAAAAGTATGAGATTAGATCACTCCTTAACACCATACACAAAAATAAGCTCAAAATGGATTAAAGACCTAAATGTAAGGCCAGACACTATCAAACTCTTAGAGGAAAACATAGGCAGAACACTCTATGACATAAATCACAGCAAGATCCTTTTTGACCCACCTCCCAGAGAAATGGAAATAAAAACAAAAATAAACAAATGGGACCTAATGAAACTTCAAAGCTTTTGCACAGCAAAGGAAACCATAAACAAGACCAAAAGACAAACCTCAGAATGGGAGAAAATATTTGCAAATGAAGCAACTGACAAAGGGTTAATCTCCAAAATTTACAAGCAGCTCATGCAGCTCAATAACAAAAAAACAAACAACCCAATCCAAAAATGGGCAGAAGACCTAAATAGATGTTTCTCCAAAGAAGATATACAGACTGCCAACAAACACATGAAAGAATGCTCAACATCATTAATCATTAGAGAAATGCAAATCAAAACTTCAATGAGATATCATCTCACACCAGTCAGAATGGCCATCATCAAAAAATCTAGAAACAATAAATGCTGGAGAGGGTGTGGAGAAAAGGGAACACTCTTGCACTGTGGTGGGAATGTGAATTGGTACAGCCACTATGGAGAACAGTATGGAGGTTCCTTAAAAATCTACAAATGGAACTACCATATGACCCAGCAATCCCACTACTGGGCATATACCCTGAGAAAACCATAATTCAAAAAGAGTCATGTACCAAAATGTTCATTGCAGCTCTACTTACAATAGCCCAGAGATGGAAACAACCTAAGTGTCCATCATCGGATGAATGGATAAAGAAGATGTGGCACATATATACAATGGAATATTACTCAGCCATAAAAAGAAACGAAATTGAGCTATTTGCAATGAGGTGGATGGACTTAGAGTCTGTCATACAGAGTGAAGTAAGTTCGAAAGAGAAAGACAAATACCGTATGCTAACACATATATATGGAATATAAGAAAAAAAAATGTCATGAAGAACCTAGGGGTAAGACAGGAATAAAGACACAGACCTACTAGAGAATGGACTTGAGGATATGGGGAGGGGGAAGGGTAAGCTGTGACAAAGCGAGAGAGAGGCATGGACATATATACACTACCAAACGTAAAATAGATAGCTAGTGGGAAGCAGCCACATAGCACAGGGAGATCAGCTCGGTGCTTTGTGACCACCTAGAGGGGTGGGATAGGGAGGGTGGGAGGGAGGGAGACGCAAGAGGGAAGAGAGATGGGAACATATGTATATGTATAACTGATTCACTTTGTTATAAAGCAGAAACTAGCACAACACTGTAAAGCAATTATACTACAATAAAGATGTAAAAAAAAAATAGATGGTATGGTCTTGCAGCATCAGAGTCACCCAGGTACTTAATAAAAACAAACATGCCCGGGTCTCCCCTCAGGATTTGTTTCTGAAAGCTCCCCACTGATTCTGATTTTTGGAAGAAAAAAAGAGAAATAAGAATGAAACTCTTGAAAAAGCCAATGCTTGAGGGACAGAGAGAAAATGGAGCAAACTTCCCAGCATAATCTATTTTCAGCTGAGGCTCCCCTGAGGAAAACAGTGTCACCTTATTAATAACCATCAGTGGTTTTGGAAGCTTTCGTTCTTAGGTCTCAGATGGTCCCAAGGGCCCCTGGACTGAGATACGAAGCCAGAGAATTTTGAAAGACTCGGCTTCTTCCTGGCTACTCCAGTGTCAAAAGAAATCTGTGCAGGTAAAAACAATTTTTAAAAGCAAGTAAGAGCTGATTATGCTTTATAATGTATCATACTAATCTTTCCCCTGATCTGCATAGTTGACCTTTGAACAACCTAGGGGTGGGGTGGGGTTAGAGGTGTTGATGCCCCCATGCAGCTGATAATCCACATATAACTTTACAGTCAGCCCTCCGTATCCGCAGTTCTGCACATTCAACCAATTGCTGATCATGTAGTACTGCAGTATTTACTACTGAAATAGGTGGACCGGTGCAGTTCACACCCGAGTTGTACAGGGTCAACTGTATTTGTATGTGTATTTCCTTTAGCCTCATGTTTTTATACTGGAAAAACTGTAATTACACAGTTTAATTTTCTATAGCACAGGTTAAATTTAGTTTTACAGATTTCCCTTTATATGTAAACTAAATGATTTGACTTCCTGAATCTTCGTTTTCTGTTTCAGTATATGGAATTATTCTTAAGTTTTGATTAAAAAAACCCAGATCTTTCTAGGCTCAAAATATATAACTTTGTGAATAAGTAAACTAACACCAGTAGCCTCATGGAGACAACTACTACTAATTATTCTATTCATTCACATGTTCCATATAATTAGAAGGTAGGAGTTATGTGGATGTCTTTTAAAAGAGAAGGGAGAAGGAAAAGTCTTTTGATTTTAGGCTCCTCAGTAGGTGACCTCATATTTTTCCAGTCAATGCTCAGAATTGTGTATCTTAGTGTCTCATACTCCCTAGCTTGGCATAGCACCATGGTAGAAATCCACACACTCTTTTTAGGGCACCAGAGTATAGGTGAACATCCTCCTTTTGGAGGGAGGCATGTGGCCCTACATAAAGAGCAGAAATAATACAGAGGCACACCTTTATATTGGCTCTGCCATTTCTGACTTGTGTGACCCTGGCAGCTCTACTATTGACTTTGCCATCCCTTACTGGACAATGGGGAGAGAGTAGATGTAAACTGCACAGAGCAGAGTACCTGACGTGGGGCAGGCACACAGCACATACCAGTCCTCCCCACTTTACACAGCCAAGGCTCAAAAAAAGATTTAATCCAAGTCCTAGAGTTCTGGTACCCAGCACCAAGTGAACACTGCTGAGGCTTTATCAGAGAGCCTAGTGATGTACTCTGATTTAAGAAGGAGAGGAACAGTGGCTAGTTCTGAAAACCACAGAAGTTACAGAAATAAAAATTCTTGACCTTAATGTTTTTAGGCTACTAATGTGCCTCCACACAACCTGTGGAGGTTGTGCCCCTGTGTTTCTCATAACTAGAAAAGGCTTTGCAATCAGTTCTTGCTGAGGCACATGGCTCACCACTATGTGCAGTGTGCAGCTGGGCCTCTGCCTACCAGAAAAGCCGTGGGTAAGGTGGCTCTCAAAAGCAAGTGGATACCCACTCTGAAAGGGAGATGTACAAATCACATTAGTATCATTCTATTCTTTTTTTTATTTTTTTGTGGTACGTGGGCCTCTCACCGCCGCGGCCTCTCCCGTTGCGGAGCACAGGCTCCAGACACACAGGCCCAGTGGCCATGGCCCACGGGCCCAGCCACTCTGCGGCATGTGGGATCCTCCCAGACCGGGGCACGAACCCGTGTCCCCTCCATCGCAGGCTGACTCTCAACCACTGTGCCACCAGGGAAGCCCAGTATCATTCTATTTTAAACGAAGAAATTTGACATACTTGCAGGGGAGAATCCGGACAACATCATTCTGTTTATAGCTTTCTATGCAGACTGCACAATGATCAAAGTCTGGGTCTGTTTCCTGAAATGAAAAGCACAGCAATGAAAGTTATACGCTAAAGCTATAAGTACCTAAATGGAGGAGATACGATCCAGCTAAGATTTTTCCTGTGGCAACTGTGGTAAACAGGTGATTATAAAGTGAAAGGTTATAAAAAAAAAAAATGTAACGTTTCCATTTGCTTAACTGTATTGACCCAAATTGTAACTAAGCCAGTCTATTTTGTTTTTAAACTATGGTGTAACAATTAATACTAATTCTTTTTGTGAAACGTCTTAGAAATCAGAATACTAATTTTTTTTTAAGATTCAAATCAGCTATCACCTTGGACCATCTAGTGCTGCATCACTATACTGGTCTGAGTAGGTTTTCCTCATCAGGACGCTCATCTGACCACACAGTTAAGTACAGGCAGAAAAGATGGTTGAGCCCCCTAAAGACTCACCCCAAGGATAGGAGCTGTGCATCTGGTCATAGATTTGGGGTAGAGAACAGTCATGGACTCAACTCTATACTAGGTCTTTATCAAGCGTCAGGAAGAGTCAGCCAGGTTTTTGGTCACCCAGGGTAATTGATCTCCTTCCTCCTCTGGATTGGGGAAGGGTTCCCCTGCCTTGTCATTAAACAGAGCACTACCAGGAAAGGCAACACTATTTGCTGTGTCACTGCCACTTGGACTGAAACTCAGTAGGGTAACTCTTGACAGGTCTAGGAGGTACAAACTTTAAAAAAGTGTTGGTTTTAATAAGGAAAGATGGTTTTGTATTAGCATGGGGGGACAAAGTAGGATGGGTAGGTTGGGTGAGCTCCAGGGAAGTTCAAATTAATGTGGCAGCTGAAGGCTACCAGGTCAAAAAAGCATTTATATTGGTGACCACTCCTCTGGGGTTAAAGTACAGCTGTTGTGATGCTGCTTATATTTTCTGCAAGTGTTTTTACTTTTTTCTTTCTTTAGTATACCATGAAGTTCATTGAAAATGTTTCTATCTTCTGGAGCTGTGTCAAGGAAAACTAGATGTGGGGTGTCAAGGCAGTGGGAATAAAAATGAGTAAAGTCAAGAAAGTGGTAAAACTTAAGAGGATGGAGAATCACCTGTAATTATCCTTCCAGAGCTCTCTGGTAAAAAATTAGAGTTGGTTTTGGGGCAGAAGACAGGTTTGGTTTTATAACTTCAGAGATGCAATTTCTTCATTCTAGATAACCTTAAATATATTGAACACAGGGTCTCACATTAAGTTGCTGTTTTGTCCATAGAGAGCAGAAACAGGGCTCTACCTAATTCTGAGATCTGACTGAAGAATTAGGGTCAGGAATCTCAGCCATAGATGGCCTCTATCACTACCTCTCTGAGTCATTTCCCCTAAGCCACTAGATCCAACCCTAACAAACTGTGCCCTTCTTTCAAACTGCTTAGCCCACTGTACAGAAAGCACCTTGTTAACCAACACTCCCTTGAATGTGGGTCTCTAGTTCTCCAGCTAACTGGTGAAGAACCAAAACACAGAAGAGAGACGCAAAGTCGCATGAAGCACAGGAAGAGAATGCACATTCCTGGCTACTTAGAGTTCTTCCCCCAAATATGCTAGGTTTTAGCAGAAGAAAACCGTTGAACACCACAGCTAGGGAAACTGTAAGTAGTCCGGTGATGCTAATTATGACAGGGGCATTTAAAATCCAGGAAAATTAGAGAACTGTATGGAGGGTCTCTGAATGACAGGCATACTAAAAATAAGATTTCAAAGAGAAGCTACTTTAGATAGTATGCTTGGAGAAAAAGAATAATCTAACAAAGGAGACACAAATGGTTAGGGTATACTCCCGCCCACCAAATCAAAAGCAAAATACTTTACTGTTTTTATAGTGTTAAAGTGATTTCATTACTGTACCTTATCACCCTTTTTCACTGTTCTGGTTGTTAATTTGCTGATGGCTTTCTTGGCTGCATCTCCAAGACGACGCTATGAAAATTGCAAAGAAAAACAGACATTAAGTGCAAGATCTCTGGATGTTCTTTTTTTTTTTCTGATATTTCAGCTAGCTTTATTTTATTAAAATTTTTAATTGAGGTATAATTGAGATACACATTATATTAGTTTCAGGTGTACAACATGATTTGATAGTTGTATGTTTTGAAATGATCACAATAAGTCTAGTTAACATCTATCACCATACAGAATGTTTTTCTTCTTGTGATGAGAACTTTTAAGATGCACTCTAGATGATGTTCTTTATTTTAAAATAATTAAATGTATAAAGTCCCTATTATCCTACATTACTTTCCATGTCATATTGTATGAGAGGATTCTAAAAAAATAATTTAAAAAAGAGAAAAACTGGCAGTTTTCCCCACAGATTTAGCATTCTGGTAAATAAGTGTATATAGTAAAAAAGCCAGGTGTCATAATCACCATTGCATTTTGCATCTAACAAATGTGAAATATTACAGCATTATCAACATCTAGTTCTTGTACATGTCAGAGCTACTGCCACTGTTCTAATAGCTTTCCTGTTCTGCTCCAAGGATGACCCTTATTAGATATATAAGCTCTGTCTTTGTGAAAAGACACCTCTAAAGCTCCTTAAAATTGCTTATCATATCACTGTGGGAGAAGGGATACAATCATGAGCTCTACTTCTGACTCTGCCACTGCTATGCTCCGTGATCTTAGGAAGGTGCATTTACCTTTCCAAGCTTGAGTTTTTCTCATTTATCTAAGAAGGTTAAGTCAGAAAATCTCTAAGGCTGAATTTATCCAGCATTTTGCAGACATTGCCAACACTGTTAGACACCAAGTACCCAAAGATGAAAAGACAGTGTACCCCTAACCTTGAAAAGCTAACTGAATTGGAAAGCAGACCAGTAAACACATTTTCATCAAGTGCTGTATGACGGAGCATGCCCAGGTGGTGTGGCAGCACAAAGAAGGCAAAATAATGCAGGTGGGGTGGGATAGAGCAGCAGAGGACTGCCAGGGAAGGCTTTGAGAAAATGATGCCTGAGCTAAGACTTGGAAAAGTGAGTAGGAAGGAGTTAGATAAGGAGAGCATTGTGATAGGAAGGGGGATTCTGGACAAAGGAATAGTCCACTAAAGACAAACAGGTGTGAAGCACAGGTATGTGAAGGAAATTACAGTTCGATATAACTATAACTAGGGTAAGCATATATTACTCAAATTAGAATATTTTGAGAGTCAGAGGGCCCTGTTAATAATTACACTGGGACAACGGGCGCAAACCAAGACTGTTCCAGGCACACTGGGACAGATTGTCACCCTGCATATAACCAGATCCTAAACTGTGGTGCGAGGCAGATGGTGAGGCTGAAGGGGTATGGTGGGAGCTAAAACAAAGGAGACCTTGGATTCTACACTGAGGATAAGACAAAAACAACATAAAATTTTAGGAGGAATTTTAAAGTACACAAAAGAAACCGGAATTTAATGGACCTTTAATGTATTTATCATTGACTTTCAATTATCAGTATTTACCTATATTCTTCATCTATTCCCCCCCCTTTATTATGCTAGAGGATTTCAAAGCACATCACAAGCACTGTAGGCTTTCACCCATAAAGTCACCCCAAGTGAACTATGTCTAACAGATATGGGCTTTTGTTTGGTGCCACTGTCTTATCTAACAAAACTAACAATAATTAATAAACATAATCTAACACTCAGACTATTTCCCCAGCTGCCTCCAGAATGCTTGAATCAAGATACAAAGTCCAAACATTGCATTTGGTTGCTATGTGTCTCAAGTCTCTTTTAATCTGAGTCCCCTCTATCACATACATGCATGTATACATATACATGCATACATACATAAATATTTTTAAAATAGCCTTATGGAGATATAACTGACTTAAACTGCATAAAGTGTACAATTTGATGTTTTACCTTGACTATGAAACCATCACAACAATCAACATAGTCTATCATCCTCCCCAAATTTCCTTGTGCCTCTTCTTAATCCCTTCTTCCTGCCACCTTTTCACTTCATCCTCCATGAACTACTTTCTGCTACTATAGTTTGTATTTTTGAGAGTCTTATATAAATGGAATGACAGTATGTTCTATTTTGTGCACGCTTTCTTTCACTCAGCATAATTATCTTGAGATTAATCCATGTTGTTGCATGCATCAATAGTTCATTTCTTATGCTATGTAGTATCCCATTGTATAGACATAACACAACTTATTTATCCTTTTCCCTGTTGATGGGACATTTGTATTGTTTTCCAGTTCTGGCTGCAATGAATAAAGCTAAAAACAGCAGTCTTTACTTTTCAAACAGCGTACATGTCTTTGTAAGGATTTATACTTTCCTTGTGCTGGGGTAAATAGCTATGAAGTAGGGAAGACTGGCTAATATGGTAGGCGTGTGTGACTTTTTAAGAGACTGCCAAAGTGTTTGTTAAAGTGAGTGTACCATTTTACATTTCCACCAGCAGTGTATGAAAATCCCAGTTCCTCCAAATCCTCACCAACACTTGGTATGCCCAGTCTTTTTCATTTGATTGTAACCATTCTAATAGGTGTGCAGTGGTATCTCATTGTGGTTTTAATTTGTATTTCTATAATGACTGATGATGTTAAGCATCTTTTCATGTACTCATTTGCCATCTGCATATCTTCTCTGGGGAAGTGTCTGCTAGAATCTTTGGCCCATTTTTCTAGAGTTGTTATTATTGACTTGAGAGTATTTTACATATTCTAGAAGTCCAGTGTGCTATCCATTGTGCTACAGAGCCACCTAGAGAGTAGTTTACATACTCGAGATATAATTCATTTTGCATATATTTTCTCTCATTCTGGCAGAAGTTTTTAATTTTGATGAAGTCAGTTTATCAATGTTTCATTTGTTGATTGTGCTCTGGTATTGTATCTAAGTAATCTTTGCCTTATCTCAAGGTTACAAGAGTTCTCCCTATTTTCTTTTCTAGAAGTTATATGTAGGCCTTTATATGTAGGCCTCTGATCCATTTGAGTTACTTTTGCATATGGTTCAAGGTATGGATCAAAGTTTTTTTTTTCATATGACACACAATTGTCCCAGCACCATTTGTTGAAAAGGCTGTCCTTCCTCCACTGAATTGCCTTTGTACGTTTGGCAAAAATCTGTTGCCCATATATGTGTTGATCTATGGCTGAACGCTATTTTGTACCATGTATCTATTTGTCTATCATTAAGCAAATACCACACTGTCATGATTTCTGTTGCTTCGTAACAAATCTGAAATCAACTCCAATTTTTTTCTCCTTTTCCAATGTCTTTTTGGTTGTTCTTGATCCTCTGCATTCCCATATTAATTTTAGGTCCATCTTGTCAATTTCTATTAAAAACAAAAGCCTCCTGGGATCTACACTGGGATTGCACTGAATATATAGAACAATTGGGAGACAAATGACATCTTAACAATATTGAGTGGTTCCCCGAACACTGTATATCTCTCCATTTATTTAGTTTTTATTTTTCTCAACAATATTTTATAGATTTCACTGTATAGATCTTATATATCTTTTGTGAGATCTCTAAGAATTTCCTGTTTATGTTATTTCCTGTTTGATGCTAATGAAAATGGTATTTAAAATATTCAATTCCCATTCATTTCTTGTATAGAAATAAAATTCATTAATGTATAATGATCTTGGGACTTCCCTGGTGGCACAGTGGTTAAGACTCTGAGCTCCCAATGCAGGGGGCCCAGGTTTGATCCCTGGTCAGGGAACTAGATCCCACATGCATGCTGCAACTAAGAGTTCACATGCCACAACTAAGGAGCCCACATGCCACAACTAAGGAGCCAGCAAGCTGCAACTAAGGAATCCGTGAGCCACAGCTAAGGAGCCCACCAGCCGCAACTAAGACCTGGTGCAACCAAATAAATAAATAAAAAAATATATTAAAAAAATAGTTATAAAAATGTATAATGATCTTATATCTTGCAACCTTGTTAAACCCATTTGTTACTTCTAGTAGCTTTTTAATAAATGCCGTCAAATTTTCTTCATAGACAATAACGTCATCTGCAAATGACAGTTTTACTTCTTCATTTCTAATATGGGTACCTTTTATTTTTCTTTTTCCTTATTGTGCTGGCTAGAACCTCCAGTATAATGTGGAAACAAAAGTCATAAGAGCACACATCAGTCTCGTTTCTAATCTTAGGAAAAACCATTTAGTCTTCCCCTTTAAATATGATGGTAGCTGTCAGTTTTTCATAGATGCCCCTCTTCAGTTTAAGGAAGTTACATTTTATGCCTACTTTGCTAAGAGATTTCTAAAATGTAATTCAACCCTTACTGTAAAAAAAATAAAACAGAAAAAAATAAAAACAATGGAAATAATGCACAAGATGATCATAAAAACACATTAGTGAGCCACAAGTACTAGAAAGAAGCGGAAAAGGCAGCAGGATGGTTCTTTTGCAGCCTCTGTCACCAAAGGACAGAGTCACACAATGTCCATACTAGTCTTCAAAAAATGAGAGAAAGCCTCATATGATGAAAGAGGGGTTTTAACAGTACCTCTTTAAGAAGTCAAGTTCTTGTAATCCAAATGGGTTTGGACCCAATGGCCTACTGACCTTTGACGTTTACCAACAAAGTTTGTGTACGGCCAGATCTGACACCTTTCACTTGATTTTTTTTTTTTTTTTTGCGGTACGCGGGCCTCTCACTGTTGTGGCCTCTCCCGTTGCGGAGCACAGGCTCCGGACGTGCAGGCTCAGCGGCCATGGCTCACGGGCCCAGCCGCTCCGTGGCATGTGGGATCTTCCCAGACCGGGGCACGAACCCATGTCCCCTGCATCGGCAGGCGGACTCTCAACCACTGCGCCACCAGGGAAGCCCTTTCACTTGATTTTAATGGCAAATCTGTGCCTGTGGTCTTGGCCTCACTGTTCACCAAGGTACTGGCTGTACCTACAAGAGCTCGTGAAATACCATAGGTGCTCAA